GGGCCCTGCCGGCGCTATGCGACCCCCGGCGGCTGGCGCACCGCCTCCTGGTGCTGGCCCTCATGTGCTTCCTGGGTTTCGGTGAGTGCCTTTTACATTGCTGAGGGGCTCGTAAAGGTGCGCATCTCCCCTGCCGCTTTTCGAGGCCGAGCTGCTTCCCGTAGCCGCACAGTCAGGGCCTTTCCCGGCCACATTGCTGCGGGCATCCCTAGGGAGAGGGTGAAGGTGGAGCTGGCGGAGGGCCGGGGACTGCAGTCTGTTTCCCTTCTTTCCGTTGAAGTGCCCTGACGTTGTCAACACGGAGACTCACTTCCTGGTCGGTGCTGAAATGCAGTTATTGGTACAGCTCAGGCTGGCTTCACTTGTCCTGTGCTCGTGCAGCGCTGCAGCGTTTGGGCTGTTAACGCAGCACAAGGACACTTAGATCCAAAAACATCCTTGAGGCTCTCGCCCCCCCCCCCCCCCAAAAAAAAAAAAAAAAAAAGAAAATGGCCTTTTTTTAGCCTTTCTTTTCACTTAAAATAAAACTGGTCAGCAATACATCTTGGGAGAATACATTGTTTATTAAATCAGGACTTGTGGTAGAGGTGATACCTTTTGTTAAACCAACTAGATTTTTGCAAAATAATGTTATTTAATTTAAAAAGAAAATTCTTTAACTTTTTTTATTTTTGCAAAAAAATAAAAATAAAAAACTTTTTTTTTTTAAACAAAAAATCTAGTTGGTCTGGTAAAAAATATCACCTTTACCACAAGTCCTGATTTCTTTTGCCTCTAGACCAATATGGCTACAACCTGGATACCCTGCTTATTAAACAAACTTTAATTTAATGGGTAGACAGCTGATCGGTAAGTTGTTTTATTAGGCAGAAGTTCCTCATAAAAAGAAAAATAGCTTCCCTTTTGAGCATTAGGCATCTCTTGTAATAACGATTTTTGGGTGCAGTCAGCACAAAGTGACAGTAGCAGAAGTTCTACAGAAGCAATTTTGATTTAAGAGAAGTGTTTCCTTGTAGAACACCCTACCATGAAAGCAGCTCTGTATCTTGCTGCTTTCATGGTGTTAAACTATTTTTTTTTTCTTTTAACTTTTAGAGAGCTGTGTCGTGCATTAACGTGAATGGGAACTTGTCTCTACTGATATGATTTGTTAATATTAAACTTTGCAAATGCTTTACATATCAGTGGAACTTAGTGACTAAGATACTTTTAAACAAATAAAGATAACTGTTTGCTTGGAATTGTATCTGAAATCTGGTAGGAAATCTACCAGGAAGACTAATACTTTATAGTTAGAAGGAAAGAAGTTAAAACTATCCACTTAAACGATAAGTTTAATTTTATTTAGTTTTATCTTGGGGTTTTTTTGGTCAGGTCCTCTGTCTCAAGCCTGTCCTATGCTCTCCATAAAGTTCAAAGAGATGCATTCAGTAGACAGTTGTGGAAGCAAATAAGCTTTCGTTTTCCTTAGTCTGTTGGTAGAATGTTATCCAGGGATGTCAGAATGTATGTCCTGCAGGGTAGATCCAGCCTACAGAAGCCCCATAATGCAGCCTCTCTTGCTATGCCAGACCATCTCTGTGTGCAGTGCCTGGGACATCTGTTGCCATCCCAGACCAGCTTAGGCAGATGTTTCCTGTGCTGGATCAGGCATGCAGTTGAGGTTAGAGGAGGGGAAGGGCTTGGTCTGTGGGATTAATATGGCCTGTGGACTGGCTCCATGCCACTTATCTGGCCAGTGGGGCCAAATCATCTTGATACCTCTATTCTGAGATGGGTAAAATACCATTTTGCTTTGATATTTCTAGGTAGTTTTAGCTTATTTTGTTTCTATTTGTTCCCTTTTATAGGCAGCTATTTTTGCTATGACAATCCAGCAGCTCTCCAGACTCAAGTTCAAGGGGTAAGTGATTGTTTTTTTGGGGGAAGAGAGAGCATTATTTCCAATAATATGCTGTTTTATCTGCATCGAGAGAAATGAGAACTTTAACCAGATGTTTTGAATGGTTCTGGTTTATAAAAACTAATACCATGAATTGTAATTTAGGTTCCAACTTGTAATTTTTTGTTTTCTAATTGAAATGTGGCCCTTGCCTGCTGTCTTTTTGAAAGCCATTCAGCATAAAATTGGACTTCAGTTTGAAAATCATGTGCTTAATAAAGTATCAATATTACTACAACTATGGCCTTCATTCTACAAAATCTATTATGTGTGATCTCATTCCATTTCTGTATAAATGCTTCAAGACCAGCCCCAATTCAAACATTTGGTAGAACTTTGTATACAGTCTGTTTTTTCTAGCTTAAGGGGTAGGCAAAGTGGTGGCAGCCAGGCTCCGGTTCCCAGCAGCCTCTGCCCACGTGGCTGGGGCCGGTCTCCATGGATACCCCAGCTGCTGTGAAAGTTTAAGGCTGGGGTTGACATGGAGACCGGCCTCAGCCATGCTGGCATGTTTGCACAGCAGAGCAGGGCAGGAGGCTGCTCCAGAGCCTCTGGGATCTTGCAATGGGGGCAGCTTACTTTGGAGCCACAGCAGAGCTGTAATCTGTAGGCTGCATGCTTCAGGCAGGGGCACGCAGGCAGGGGATCATAGCTCTGCCCCTGCTTCAGACTAGTCTTTTACTGTTGCAAGGAGTCAGGGCAGAGATGAGATTTCCTGCCTGCTCGCCCCTGCCTAGGCTCTGGAGCAAGCTTCCCCCATCGCAAGATCCCAGTGGCTCCTGAGCAGCTCCCTGTTGTGCCCTGCTGGTGCAGCTGAGAATGGTCTCCATGGCAACACCAGCCTTGAGCTTTCACAGCAAAGGAGTGCCATGGAGACCACCCCCAGCCATGCTCAGGGGCAGCTGGGAAATGGAGTCCGCTGCCGACTGGATCTGGCCTGTAAATCAGACTTTGCCCATCCCTGTTTTATACAGTCTGTTTGCATGTAAGTACTGGTGAGAGGTATCATTGACAACACAGGGGTAGGTGGGTGGTGTTGGGGAGAGGAAGGAGATCTGTGTTTAAATAGGGAATACTTTTATTTTTAGCTTTAAGTTGGGGAAAGACTTGGCAAAAAGTGTAGTACTTCTACATTAAACTAGACTCCAAGTTGATGTGTTCTTTTTAAACATTAGTGGCTTGAACTATTAATAAGGATTAGGAGTGCACCAGTAAAGATTTTCTTGGCCAATACTGATAGTCAATTATTAACCAGCCATATTGGCTGTTACCCATCTGATAGCTGATTTACAGGAACACAGTTGGTCAGCGTGGAGAGCAACACCCTGCAGGTTGTTCTTTGGAGGGGGAGGGCAGGGCAGGGCCATGGGGGCAGCAGATCGAGGTCACATGGTGAGGGAGGGAGTGGGGCAGAGGCTGGAGCTGTGGGTGCAGGCCAGCCAGAACAGTGAATGGGACCCGGGGTGGGGAGTGGGACAGAGCTGCGGGCGGCTCGTCCAGAGGATCAGCATCTCGGCGCTTAAAAAAGGTGGCAGGGGCATTTGAACTAAAGTTTGTCAAATGAGCAGTTCAAGCTCTGTTGCCACCATTTTTAAGCACGGGGACACTTTTAACTGGAGCAGAGCTGAGCAGGATGAGGGTGGATGCAGGCTGCTTGTTGCAGGCTTGGGGCTCTCTGCTGCGCTGCCTTTTCCCCAGGAGCCCTGAACTGGTCACGTGCCCCCTGTCTGCCCTGCAACTGGAGGAACAACTTGCTGCCCCCCACTGCTGCTGGGCAGGCAGCAGGTGCATGACCGGTGTGGGGCTCCAGGAGCAGAGGTAGCAGAGCAGAGATTCCCAAGCCCACAGTGGGCAGCCTGCATTCTGCTCCATACACAAATCTGGGGGGCACGTGCACCCCCATTCCTCCCCTGAGGGGTGCGTACAGTGGCAGGAGCTTCCCCCCTGGACAAACCGCTTGTGGCTCCATCCCGCTCCCAGCCCCAGGTGTCCCATTCATTGTCCTGGCTGGACAGACCCCCAGCCCTTGCCCTACTCCCTCTCGCTGTGGGAGCCTTGATCTGTGCCCCTTCCCCTCCACAGCGTTACCTGCAGGGTGCTGCCCGGCTGCCTTCCTGGCCGTGTGCATGTGTTCGACTGTGCGCATGCACGCGGCGTCCAGGGTCCCCAGCCAGAAGGCATATTATATTTATCAGTGGACATTATCCGCTACACCGGTCAAAAAAAGCTGATACCCGATAATGTTAATTTTCCTTTTATCGGTGCTGATCCAATATGCAACCAATTATATCAGTGCACCTCTAATAAGGAGAAAGTATTCATAGCATATATGTGTATAATATTTTGAACATTGAGAGTTTGCATTTTGGAAGTACATTAGCCTTAGGCTGTGATAGTAACACCAAAATATTCTGTTCAACATGGCAGAAATATAGTTATTCTGTGGAATAATATATTTTCAACTTTTGTTGTTTGTTAATTTAAAAAAAACCTAAATTAGGAGATCACTGTGATCATAGATAGTTCTTGCAGACTATGTTATGCCACCAGCTACTCCCTGTTAGCAATGAAAAACCATCAGATTGATCACAATGAAAAAAAACAATATTTCAGCTACCTCTAGATTCAAACACAAACCCAAAAATTGTGCTAAAATCATTATTCACTTATTGGCTCTCCAGGTAGTTTGCAAACTTTAGAGAAATGGGAGTAACCTGAAAATGCAATTCTCCTGCAGCAAGGAAGAGTTTGTGTGTAATGCAAAAAATAAAACCCTTTTTATGTAAATAAACATAAGCCTTACTTTGACTAAGCAAGACTTGAACACAAGTGGGCCCATTCATCTGGGCAGAAATGTTCTTTGTATAAACGCTATTCATTACAGTAGAGCTCTCTGAAAACTAGAAGCTAGAGCAATTTTTTATGTTTGAGCCGCTTTCTCAGAAATCAGTTTGCATGTAAAATCTTTTGAGTTTTTCATGTTGAAGCCTTCCTATTTTAGACTGTTTGTTTATCTGCCATAATTTTGTTTAAGAAAACTGAGGGATTAACACTTAGCAATGTTGTTTTTTCAAAGAAGTATAGAAAGTAGTTTAGAGTTCAGTTGGATTTTAGCTTTCTGTGAGATCACAACCAGCACCCCACTCTCTGGGTTGCTTTTTTGCTTTCATGAGAAAATCTAGTGCTGTAGGAGATGATACAGAAGATTGGCAATTGTCCCCCTCTAACGGAATAAACTTTGCAACAGTTCTGGAGTGCTGCTCATCAGAAATATGTAGAAATGCTTGGGCATCTTATAATGAGTAGCAGTTGTAATGCAGCCTTTGTCTTAATGAGAGAGTGGACCCCTTTCAGGACTGCACTTGGAGACAAAAAAAGAGGATGTATTTGTGGCCACAAAAACTAGCTCTCTGGGTCACAAATGGAATTTGAATCTGATGGGTTTCAAGATTTTTATTTAACTCTCTCTGATTACCTTTGGGTTGCCTTTAAATTTTGTTTAGTTTAGTTTTTTCAAATAAAGAGAAGAGTTAAAAAGTTGGGAGTGACACTTTTTCAAAAGTACAAGGGGCACTGAACTGTCCAGTTCCCAGTGGAAGTAAAAAGCAGCCGAATGCCTCTCAATTTTTTTTGTTTGTTTTTTTTTAAAAAGATTCTCTTAACTCTGCACGTGTTTTGGTAGCAATGTTCATCATCTGCTGCTGGAAAAAATGAACCTTTACAGATGACTTCTATCAAATCTTGCCCTTGGTATCCCAAATGTCTGATGAATTGTTTATGAATGTATGCTCCCTTAAAGGAAGATTTTATTTCTATATCTTTATGATAATTGACACTTGTCTCTATAACTGCAGTGCTAAATAATTTTTCTTTTAAACTTTTTTTTCCCTACGTAGGATATGAAGGTGAACACAGCTCAGTTCATGTCATTATATGCTTGGTATTCCTGGCCCAATGTTGTTCTCTGTTTCTTTGGAGGCTTTCTGATAGATAGAGTATTTGGAATACGGTAAGCATAACCACAGTACCTTTTTACATTTGGAAAGGATAGCAGGGGATTTGCATCTGCCATGTAACAGTAGGTGGTTATTACCATCCAAAAGTTCGATGCGTATTCTTCCAAGATGTGAGGCCACTCTGCTGAAATCATAAACTTGCAAAAGTGTGATAGCTTCTTAGCTGTCACTTTTGCGTATGCAGACAATTTCGAACTTAGCAAGAGGGAACCTTTGCATGGCGTCAGGCTAATATGTAGCTCTCTAGTAGTTTCTCTTAAACAGAGCTGGAAGCCTACACTTACGTTGGCCTTGGGGATCAGGGTGCTCTTGTTCTTCTAAAGAATCTCTGCTTGTCATGGGGCACTTACATTGGCCTTGGGGATCAGGGTGCTCCTGTTCTTCTAAAGAATCTCTGCTTGTCATGGGCAGTGTAAGCCTGCCATGAATAGGTAGAAAAGTTGTTTTAGTAATCTGATTTACAACACCAGGCCTTCAGTATCTCTTGGTTTTTTTTTTTTAATTGTCCAGTAATGTTTAACATAAGTAAAATATTTTAAATATAGTATAGTACATGTGGCTTTAAAGGTTTTAAGTGGGTCAAACTGTTTTTGTTTAACAGGATGGGCACCATTATATTTGGCACCTTTGTTTGTGTTGGACAGGTAAGTACAAACAAGAGGACATAAAAAGGCAGTGTTGTTTGGAGTGCCTGAACAAAAATATATTAAGATGCACTGCATGTTAGGAGTGGGAGTGGAAGGGGAAAGGGTATAGAGAAACCTAGCAAAAATCCAATGTAGGGATGAATGGTGAAGTTGTTTTATGAAGCCCACAGGTACTTTCTCAGGCATATTTACCTATATCATTCACATTTCATTATTTCAGAAATTGGCTACATAGTTTGTGCTGCCCCTTACATTAAGTCTGGAGTTATGGGCCTTCTTGCCATCCTGTATCTCCTGTATAAGGGAGATATTGTTGATATTGGTATTTGCTTGTATGTAAATACTTTTTTTGAGGAGATTCCTATTCCAGACATAAGTTGTCCTGATTCTTAGCTTTCTATTTGAAGGCTATATATAGTCTATATCCGAGACATTCAGTTATACCACAGTATATGTGCCTCTGTATAATTCCCATATCAGTATCAGCGTGGCTTTGATGTACTTTGTCAGTCACCTTGTTACAAAGAGAGTGAGTGGTGGTGGTAATAATAATATAAACAACGGTAGATCTGTGTTCATGTAGTCAAGTTTTAGAAAGACTTCATGAGGATTTTGTAGTGGTTTCAGAGCTTATTGATATCTTTCTTTTCATTGACACAGCTATAACTAGATCAGGGTGGGCAGTTATTTGTTCTGAAGGACCACTTAAGTTTTGGGAGCTATTGAGGGCTGTATGCAGGTGGTTCTCAACAGATGAGGGGGTGTGCAGCCCTTAACAGCTCATCAGAACTTGTTAAGTGGCTCTCAAGCCCAAATAATTGCCCACGCCTAAACTAGATAATATTTTCAATGTTCTGTATATGCAACACGTTTTTGAGGGGCTGATTATAATTATAATGGCCCATTCTGTGTGTTGTAGAATTCATTCAACTTTGAGATGGTTTCAACATGAAGCGTGAATAACTTCTTGTAAGAAGTCTTTATGGGCACTTGTTTGTTGTGCATTTCTGTATTTAATGGAACCAGTATTGGTTAATAATGGAAGGTACTGACCAACAAGCATCTGTGTGTATTCTGAATGGCATTGCCCACAAATATGTAGTGCTAATGGGCATGAAAATATTGCAGAATTCCACATGCTGTTTTTTGCTGGTTCTGTTAGGGGGAAAATGGTGTAAAATATTGCTTGTTAGTGCTTTTATTATGTGATGTTGTTACTTGTTTATTTCACAGGTGATTTTTGCCTTGGGAGCTCTATTTAATGCTTTTTGGCTAATGGATGCTGGCAGATTTGTATTTGGGTAAGTCTTAATGAAGATCAGTGCTGAATATGTACCCGGTGATACGGACCATCTTTCTGGGTGTCTTGAACAGTACCTAGTGCTTTCCCAAAATAGACATCTTTGAGAGAAAAAAGCACATAAAGATAAGTCCTGTAAAGAGTTGCAGTTGCCTTCCTGTATTTAAGAATTACAAAATTGGGCTAAATTTCCAATGTTTGTGTATTGCATTAGTAATATCTTTACTGAATTCAAACAATAAGGAACCATACTTAATAATATCAACAAGTACTGCTTAAGGTTGGTCTATTAAAGTGCTTGCTTCTAACACTGCTGGTACTCATCTTCTGGAGCCAGTTCTGTGCTGTCTCATTTAGATCAGAGTGGGCGTTCAGATTTTTTTTTCTTGAGTTCGCTTAAATTGTGGCTAACTGGTTTCTCTTCTGCATCTTTAGAATTGGTGGAGAATCCTTAGCAGTGGCACAAAACACCTATGCTGTCAGTTGGTTTAAAGGCAAGGAATTAAATCTTGTCTTTGGATTGCAACTTAGCATGGCCAGAATTGTAAGTGGTTTTTAAGAGAGACTCTTCATGTGTAAAATCTGTCTTTGCAATTTCTTCAGACTCTGTAATAAGGCCACAGTATGCAAGTGGAAAGTAGCCAAAACGCCATTTAAGATAGCATTACAACCCCCAAAATTGATGGTGGGGGGTGCCATAGTTTGCATTATGCACTCACTATGCATTGTGGGAAATCTGTTGACAGTGTAGTTCTTTGTGGTGACTTATTCCAAATTTTTGTAGAGACCTTGGTGTAAACTAATTTTATATCTGAAGATGAGGTAATTCAATGCTCTTCCTGTCCCAAGAGTGACTTTTTTTACACAACAGACTTTCACTGTTGGTTATGCCTTGGGGTAGCTTCGCCAGATCAGGGTTACTTTATGGTAACTGTGTAAATCGGATTGAGAAACGTTTAACAACTGTTCAGGGTGGCAGTGCTGTGATATATTTACATAAAATCTATGAAACACTACCTAGCATAGCTGTCACTGAATGGCATGTCCTATATACATTCAGCTTGCTTAGGTGGGAAAATCAGTTGTGCTTTTTCTATTCCATCCTTCTAAACTTTCATTTTACATTGATGTTTTTTGTGCTATTGGTAAATTTTAAAACTTTTTTTTTCCCCCCAACTGATCCTTATTACAGTCTTCATTCCAATATCTTCTTTCCAGGGAAGCACAGTAAATATGAATATCATGGGATGGGTATACTCCAGAGTTCAAGATCTGCTGGGCTCTACAGGTCACACTACACTTGGATTAACACTTATGATAGGTTAGTAAATAAATAAGTTAATAAATTGACTTTGTATATAACATTTTAGACATTCACAATGTGAAATAAACCACACCCACATGAAAAATGTAAGTGGCTGTCATTTGAAAACTTAAATTGCAGATTTGTTTGAGAAGAGCATTCATAATTTAGAAAATAAGTTGCTGCAGCTATATATTCTGTTCAGACCTAAATCAGTGTGTCCATAGCTACATTTTCAGCTGTTAGTAGAGTGACTGTCTTTTGCTGGACTATTTATTCGATTTGTATGGCTGGCAACCAAAGGTCTTTTAGCGCATGTATAGTTGGACATTGGGATGGGGAGGTTTTATAGTGAAAGGCAGCATGTAGAGGTGTGTGCACGTGCATTTTGTATATCAAGGATTTTTTTTTCTTTCTGCAAATTAAGTGAAGCTGGGGAAGGGGGGAAGCCCTTACTCCCCCACCTTGCAAGCTTTAGGCACTGCTAATTGCAGTGCAGTTTTCACCTACACCTGATTTTCTAAATGACAGCTACTTTATTCTTTTAAGTAAATTAAACTCATGTCAATATGTTCAGACTATTGGACTTGTGAGATTTGGTTAGAAATGAAGGGATGGCTGTATTTTTAACAGGGAAGACAATCTGATATCGCTGTACAGTGAACTTCTGTCTTTTTGTAGGTGGTGTAACTTGTATCTTTTCACTGATTTGTGCACTAATTCTTGCTTACCTGGACAAGAGAGCAGAAAAGCTCCTTTGCAAGAAGCAAGGAAAAACTGGTGAGTGATAGTTAAGACAGAAGGTATGACTAGTACCCACACTTGGGTCTGGTTACTGGGACTTCACTGTACAACAAACAAACTCATCTGGTATGCTTACATTCTAGTTGTCTCATCGGTCTTTTACCAAGGCTCTGGGTCATCCTTGATTTCCCAATCTTTCTTACTATCTCCTTGGTGAGGAATCGTAGACTTAATTTTAAGAACAGAACTCTCCAGCCTTCCTGATTTTAACACGGTGTGAATTGATGTAATGTTTCCTATCAGCAGGACCATCCCTGGTGGGGGGTGAATTGGGGCAACCGACCTGGACCTCGTGCTCTGGGGGGGCCCGCAGAACCAGGTGGAAAGGCCGCGGCTGCAGCTAGCCCGCCTGGCAGGTTGGATGGTTCTTTGCCTGTTCTGGCTGCCACCCGTCCTGCTGCATCCAGTGTGCCAGGGCGTTCACTCCCTAGCATGAGCGTACCATGGGATGGCGAGGGGGGGGCCTGTGCAGGCTGCTGTGCCCTGGGCCTTGCACCCTGCTGGGATCGTCTCTGCCTATCAGAGTTTGCAGGAATACCGAATGCAGCCTCATTCTTTGCAGGTCACCACTAAAACGTCGAAGTAAAAAGTCTTTTAACTGGTGCCAGTTACAGAAACATCCCATTAATTTGCTTCCTCCATATTGCCATATTTCATTATTCTGCAGATACAGATATCCCCTGTTTTTCTTCTGCGAAGGTGCTAAAATATAGAGGCTGCCATATTTGTCAGTCTGTAGTTTTGGGGTTCCCCCACACAATTTTAAGGCATATATAGAAACAGCCTCGTAATTCAGGGCTTCAGACAAATCTTGCTTAGTGATTGGAAACCTCTGGTTAAAAGAAATTGCCGCTATTAGTTCATTGTGCTGCACCAGACTACCAGAGATTCCAAGGGATGTGCTTTAGAATTTAAGTTCAACTTGCCATGAAATGCATTAGACTGCCTTTCACTTCTGAAAGGTGTCTAGGCTTAAGGGAAGTTCAGTCGAAAAAATTATGTTTTAGTTTTATAGTTTCACAGATGTTAGGGTTGGAAGGGACCTATTAGATCATTGAGTCTGACCCCCTGCCCTGGGCAGAAATGAGTGCTGGGGTCAGGTGACCCCAGCCAGGTGTCTGTCCAATCTCTTTTTAAACACCTCCAAGTAAGAGGACAGCACCACCTCCTTTGGAAGCTTACTCCATATTTTGGCAACCCTCACTGTAAAGAATTTTTTCCTGATGTCCAATCTGAATTTGCTTTCTTCCAGTTTGTGGCCATTATTTCTAGTTACCCTGTCAGGTGCCCTGGTATAAACATTGTATCCCCTATTTCTTGCTGCCCGCCCCCCTTCCCCTTCCCCCGCTTGTGGAGGCTGAAGAGGTTCAGGTCTCCTAGTTGGTCTACATAAGGGTTTTTCTCTAGGCCTTTAACCAGATGAGTTGCCCTCCTCTGAACCCTCTCGAGGTCATCCACATCCCTCCTGAAGTGTGGTGCCCAAAACTGGATGCAGCACTCCAGGTGCGGCCTAACCAATGCTGCATAGAGGGGAAGTATCACCTCCCTAGACCTGTTTGCGATGCACCTGCTTATGCAAGAAAGGGTGCGGTTAGCTTTACTTCATCACGCTGGTGACTCATGTTCATTTTGGCATTGACTATGACTCCGAGATCCCTTTCTGCAGCTGTGCTACTTAGAGTGGTACCTCCCAGGCTGTAGGACTGTTGATGATTCTTCCTCCCCAGGTGCAACACATGACACGTATCCTTGTTAAACTGCATCCTATTTTGTTGGGCCCATTTCCCCAGCCTGTCCAAATCAGCCTGGATTCACTCCCTGCTGTCTAGTTTGTGTACCTCCCCCCATAGTTTGTTGTCATCAGCAAACCTGGACAGGGTGCTTTCTACTCCCTTGTCGAAGTCACTAATGAAGATATTGAATAGTACTGGTACCAGGACAGAGCCTTGGGGGACTCTGCTGCCCATATTTCTCCAGGTAGAAACTGACCTGTCCACCACCTCTCTCTGGGTGTGTCCCATAAGCCAATTTTCTGCCCACTGGACTGTAATAATCATCATTGCAGCTGTTTAGTTTATTTATAAGAATTGGGTGTGACACTGTGTCAAAGGCCTCTTTAAAATCTAAGTAAATAACCTCTACCTCTATTCCTTCATCCAAGCATTTTGTGACCCAGTCGTAAAATGATACCAGGTTAGTCGGGCAGGATCTGCCTGCTATGAACCCATGCTGATTGCCCCTTAGCATTGTTTTACCTGCTGGTCCCCCAAAAATGTGATCCTTAACAATTTTCTTAAAGGTCTTGCCAAGGATAGAGGTGAGGCTAACCGGCCTATAGTTACCCGGTTTCTTCTTCCTCCCCTTCTTGAAAATAGGGACCGCATTGGCCCTTTTCTAATCCTCCGGGACCTGTTGAGCACCATGAGTGCTCAAACAGTTGTGCCAGCAGCTCTCCTATGACTCCAGCTAATTCCCTAAGTACCTTAGGATGAAGGTCATCAGGACTTGTTGACTTAACTACATTCAACCCTCCAGGTGCCCCTTTACTAGGTCAGCTCGAACAGTTGGTGAGTTGGTATCTTTACTGGGCTTACCTGAGGTCCTAATGGGATGCGTATTTGTATTTCCAGGCGTATTCCATGTGCATTTCATGTCCAGGAACATGGATGCAAAGAAATCATTTAGAAGCTCCTCTTTGGCCATTCTGTCTGTTACCAGTTGCCCTAGTTCATCCTGAAGGGACCCTAAGTTACCCTGCACCTTCTATTTGCTTCCTATGTACTTAAGGATAACAAAAAATCATTCTTTAACTTTTGCTGCCAACCTAAGCTCTGTTTCCACTTTGGCTCTCCTCACTGTTTCCCTGCAAGCTTGAAACAAGCAGGTATACTCCTCCTTGGTGTTAGCCCCCTGCTTCCACAGCCTGTAGGCCTCTCTGTTTTTCCCTCCAGGCTCTCCTGGATTTCTCTGCTCCAGCAAGAGGGTTTCTTTGCTTTTTTTTGCCCCCTTTTGTGTGTACTGGGATGGTCCTTTTTTGTGCCTGCAGGATTAGTCCCTTGAGAAATGCCCACCCTTCCTGGATTCCCATCTCTCCAAGGCTTTTACCAGTCAGTCCCTCCCAAAGGAATCTCCTGAGCTTGTTGAAGTTGGCCTTCCTGAAGTCTAGCACTTCTGCCCTACTAGTTACCTTCCCCACCTTTCTCCAGATAGTGAACCCTATCAATAGGTGGTCACTATCCCCTAGGTTACCTTGCACCTGCAGATCCCCCACCAAGTTGTCCCCTGTGGCCAGTACCAAGACTAGTAAGGCATTTCCCCTAGTGGGAACGCATGCCTCCTGCAATAGGTGAAGGTCCTGTAAGGAGGTTATAAACTTTTGTGAATGGACAGACCTGGCTGCCTATTTCTCCTAGCAGATGTCTGGGAAGTTAGTCACCCATGACGACCAGGTCCTTTGAGCGCGCTGCCTCTGAGAGCTGTCTTGAGAATTCTACGCTTAACTCGTCCCCCTGGCTTTGTACTTTCCTCAGTTTGCTCTCTCCCTAAAGGGAATCTGCTTGAGAATATAGATGATATAAGATCCAGCCACATGAGCATTCACATATATAGTGCATTTGATTTTCATTTAAGATCCAAAGATGTGAACTGTACCTAGCTAATGTGCAGTAATCTTATGTTTCTGTCTTTTTTTTTTTTTTTTCCCTCAAGGTGAAGTGATTAAATTAACTGATGTGAAGGACTTCTCATTGTCCTTATGGCTCATATTTATAATCTGTGTGTGTTACTATGCAGCTGTGTTTCCTTTCATTGGATTGGGAAAGTAAGTACCTTTCATTTAAAAATGAAATATAAACCGATTTGATCAGATGGCCATGTGATAGATTTACTTGCAGGTATAGTGTAAGTTTAAGAAATAAGAGTCTTGGTGGTAGTCTATTTCCAGACCATCTAGTCGAATAGATAGAACAGCTACAAAAGTTTTAGTCTGCTTCTTTCATTGACTTTGCTTGTACTCTCTCTTATCCACTGTAGATTGTGATAGTTTTTCATATTTTAGTTTTTAGGAAATTTAACTTACGACTGGTTATCAGTGTCAGATCTCAAAAACATAATACTTGTTACATGTTACTTAAACCTTGCTGTGAGCATAACATTTGTTTACATCTTTAAGATTCATGGATATTTGCCATAAAGTTCCTTTTTAAATGCTCTCGTGCTGGTTAAGAGAAGATTTAACTGAGGGCCTCTCTCTACATTTATGCTAGAATTAACGTGTTAATTGCTAAACGGTAAGGGTGCTACGCATGCATCCAATTTAAGGCTCCATGATCCAGGGCTCCCCTCGCACCGACAAGTAGAATGGGCACAATTGAGATGTGATCCTATGCCCATATGCATGACGGAAGATGTGATTGTTGGGGGTGGGGATCAGATTCCATAGTGCCTCTAAATGAGTGTCATGGTCCTAAGTGTAGTGGAAGTTTCAAGTTGCAGGATGCCCTATTAATACTGCATTCAATTTGCTTCATATAATATATGCATGCTTATCTTGTGTTTTGACCAGAATAGTTTAGTTGGTATTCTATAATGGATCTGTACCTGAGTTAGAAACGTGGTACCTGTTTAAAGCTAAATGCTTAGTTGTATGTATGTTTAGTGAGAGGAAAATTGGAAGTCACTGACTACATGAATCTCCAGGCTGGCACAATTGCCTGCTTCATTTTTTTTTTTTCTTGTGCGTCCTGTGAAAAGGTTCTGCTTTAGCTGCTGTAACCCACTGAATTTATCACTCATTACTGGGTTTGCTGCCAGTAAGTTGCACTTCAAATTGGACCACCTGACAATATAATTTGAACTGATATAAGATACTTTTTGTCAAAAAAAAAAAAAAAAATCACATAGGAACTTTCTCAGTACTTTTATGCATTTGTATATACAGTATCTTATGCAGAAAACCTTATTCCTGTACATCATATTTATGCCAACAATGTGTTTTTTAAAAACCCTCAGTAAACTACAATCTTCTGTTCTTGATGCATGACAAATACTGTAATAAAAAAAAAAAATTAAACATGTAAAATGTAGTCTAAATCTTTCTTTTTAGGGTTTTTTTCATCGAGAAATTTAAATTTTCTCCTCAAGAAGCAAGTGCAATTAACAGGTATTCTTGCAAGTTTACTGTCTTGGTTAAAAACCTGAAGTCTTAGAATATGACGGTCATTTTTGTCTGTTAACTTGGAGTTGTTCTTTTTCCTTCTTCCTCCGCCCACTCCCTACTAATCTTCAGTCAGATTGGCTTTAAGAGGAGACTTATTCTAGATGGTTGGTTTTTTTAAACCCTGGATAGGTTATTCTTATCAGGGAGAGGGGGTGATGAACTGACTGTTCCAGAAGCCCATCTGGGTATATGAGAGGGCTATAAAAATGAGGGTTTTTCTCAGAAAATTCAAATGGTGAAAGTTATTGATGATAATGGCTAATGGAGAACTTAGTTTACAGTTCCTCCTTGCTGCTGTACAGTGTAATAGTACTGTTGCAGCACCAGGATGGGTTAACTGGTATTATTAAATAACACTGCCAACTTGCTTGCTTCTGGTTGCACAAAGATGTTGTTGCATTAAAGTAGAAGGGTATCAGCCATGAACTGGGATGGTAACCATCATCTAGAATAGGGATATTCAAACACATGGCCCACACAGCAGTTTTATTCAGCCTGTGGGACTCCTCTAGGGGCTGGGAATTATGGGGTGGAGCTTATCGAATTATGGAGTACAGAGCCCTGCTGGAGATTTGGGTTGGTGATGTCACAGCAAGTGACAGCTGTATTAACCTCTGCCGCTTTGTGCGGAAAGAGCAACAAGGTCATGTAGATTGGGGGGTGGGAGGGGGATCACTGTATGGCTAGGTGGACCTGAGGGTGATCCTTTAACTTGTCTCATTAGAAATATAGACATCCTCAGTTCTGTGTTTTAACCAGCTGAACACATGGTAGCTACTTGGGTATCTTGATCTGTGTGTTGGGTCTGTCTATAATTCTACAAATTGGTAATTGTCTTCCTGTGGCTTAAGTGCACTGGGCTTTCCTTCTGTGAGGCTGATCTATAAATCAAGGTGTCAAATATTAAATTCCTCTAGATGAGGGGTGTCAGATACACAGCCTGCAGAGCCAGGTCATCCAGCCTGCAGACTTCTATCCTGACTCTGGGTGTGATGGGGGACCTTCCTGAAGTGGCAGCCAAGTGCCTGGATGAGACCTGTGGCACTGGAGCCCCAGCACACCATGGCTTTGTTCCTTTGACAGCAGCCAAGCACGCGTGATTCTGAGCTTCCTGCAGTGTTGCTAGAGCTCCACCGCTGCATTTCTCTCCTGAGGAACTTGGCTGCCACTCTGGAAACAAGCCACAGTGCCGGGCTTTTTCCCATCATGCTACTCAGGCTCCAGTGCCACTGCTCTCCCTGGATGCTTTGCTGCTAAGCACCTGGGTGAGAGCAGTGGTGCTGGAGCCTCAGCAGCTGTGGCTTGCACCGTGGCTCGCTCTCAGGGCAGCAGCTTAGCACCTGGGATGCCAGGCCTCTCTCCACTGGGTCCTGGAGCAGCTGGAGTAGATGCTGCATGCGCTGGATCTCCCATGGGTTGGAGGTTGGGTGTCCAGCCTACAGGCCTCACCAGTCATCCAGTCCCTGGACCTGTTTCACACTCATGCAGTCTGTGGGACCAGGCAAGTTTGACACCCCTGCTCTAAATGTCAGATATGGATTTATGTCCTTAATCACCCTAGAACAATTAAGCCTTCAAAAACTTGAAAGAAAATTGTTTTATTTTTTTGTAGCATTGTATATATCATATCGGCACCCATGTCCCCTGTGTTTGGATTCCTGGTGGATAAACTTGGAAAGAATATTATCTGGGTTTTGTGTGCCGTACTGACTACACTTGCTTCTCATATCATGTTGGCCTTTACTTTCTGGAACCCTTGGATTGCAATGGTAAGTATTACTAGTAACAATGACTTATTTGATAATAGCCATGTACAGTAAGATATCACATGATTTAAATGTTTATCATTTGCATGGCAGAATACCCAATATTTTGGGATCCAGGATGAAATGCCCCAATTGCATGACTGTCTGTCAGGGGCAAACTACTCCAACAAGTTACCTCCTTTGTAAAGAGACTTACTGTGAAAAGTTGTACCTAAAAAAATGTGTTCCAACTACAGCTTAATCTTTGTATCTATTTCTCATTCAACAACTTACTGTGAAAATATGCTGTACCCTCAATTGTGTAACGTTTGATACTAGTCTTGGGGAAAACTGACCAGAATTATTATCCTATTATGTTTCTAAGTATATTTTTGTTCTCTTGGGAGAGCTAACTTTATTTAACTATGGTTCTCACAAATGCAAATCTTGCTTTCAACAGTGTATGTTAGGAGTAGCCTATTCGTTACTAGCCTGCGCCTTGTGGCCAATGGTGGCCTTTGTTGTACCAGAGCATCAGCTGGGAACTGCTTACGGCTTGTAAGTATTTGTATTTATCTTCCAGCGGTGGCTTGCTGTGAGCACTTCCAAATGGTAAAGAAGCATTGAGATTTTTAAACTACTAAAGTAATGGCAGACAGTGTTATTGCAAATGCCTTGCATTCAAAAGCTTGTCTAACTTTATCACAACTAATATAGTTGTTCAATAAAAGATAACGCACACAAAAAATCTTGTGTCTCAATTCATGGCTATAATATTGCTCTAATGCTGTCGTATCTTGCAAAATTGCTCCTAGATCTGGAGTAGTCTTCGTTCTCCAAGGTGAACTAGTTTTACTGACAAATCTTAATGCTCCTCGTTCTTTTTGTTTTGTTTGTTTTGTTTTTGTGCCATATTTTAAAATATTTTTCTTCCATGTTAAAGGATTCCTTTGAAAAAGTAAGTTTTTTAAATAACCATTAGTGCAGGATGTCAGGTATTCAGGTTGTAACTATTAATTTAGAGGCAAAAGGAGTGAGAACTTGTGGTAGAGGTGATATCTTTTATTAGACTAACTAGATATTTGCAAAAAAAGTTCTTTATTTGCAAGCTTTTGGGCACAAGCACCCTTCTTCAGGCATAGGAGAAAAGATTGTAGGTCTCCTAGCTAGAAATGAAAATTCATATTTCATAGGAGAGTTGAAGGTGTGGTATAGTCTCCTATTTGGAACAGGGGTGTGGGTTGTAGCTGTGTTGGCCTAAGGACATAGGCAGATAAGGTTCTTTGGGTAAATCCAGTATCTTTTAATTAGACCAACTCAACTAGCTGGAAAAATTCTTTACCCAAAGAACCATGTCTGCCTGTTTGGAACAGTTCATTTTTATGCAGATTAGGCTCATTGGTGCAGGATGTAATTCTACACTCAGCCTTTGGGGTACAGGCATCATACATTCCCAGAGTAAATAAAATCTAGAGGCGCCATAACATATGGTGGCATGCAGACAGCAATTTGGGCCTTGATTGTAGCTTTTGCATTTTTTTTAAAACTATACAATGTACTATACAGTGTAAGCTGTGAAGAGCAGCTAATATAAATTAAATCTTTGTTATCCATATTTTAGTATGCAGTCCATCCAGAATTTGGGTTTGGCAATAATTTCCATAGCAGCTGGCACGATACTGGATTCTCGAGGGTATCTGTTTCTAGAAGTTTTCTTCAGTGCTTGTATTTGCTGTAAGTACCATGTATGACTGGTATGGGAAGAGAGCCGTTGTCACTGTTGCTTAATGCTTGTGCTGGCACATCAGTCAGTTTAATCTGTGGAGTAGATCAGTTGAGTTAATTTGTTCATGCATTAGATGTGTGCATAAACTGCATGTAACTTGTACTCATAGGACTATTATTTCCTTTTTAAGAGACTGTTATGCAACAAAGATGGATTGTAATGGTGTTGAGGATGTGAGGGATATTATTAATATCTTGCAGATACTAGGTGTAGTCACAGTCTGTCTTGGTAATGTTGCAAAATGTTTACTTTTGGCAAGAGGGTCTTTTATGAAATAAAAGCATCTTTAATGTAAACCCTTTTCCTGATCCTCCTTTGAGCCCCCCGAATGGAATTTTGAAAAGTGACCAAGTGATACAGGGGGACAAGGATTTATGCTGACAGATCACTTGGCTGATGACTTAAAATCCTGTCTTCTCTTTAATAGCAAAGGGTTTGAATACTATTGCATTTTAGGGTAATCTTTTTTTCTGTTTCTGGGACAGCTGTGCTAACTATCTAACTCTCTTCCTTTTTTTTTCCTAGTGTCACTAATAGCTGTAGTTATGCTGTATTTTGTGAATCGCCTCACAGGTAAGTATATGTTCAGACTTTCTTAACATGACACCTGTTCTGTTGTTTGAGTTGGTAATTATACTGACTTCTGTAGGACAAATTCAAGATGCCCTATATAATACTATGCCAGAAGCTATAGGTCTCAAAATATGTAATGGAAGCATTTACTGGATGTTAAAATTTATTTTTTTACTAGCAAATTACCCATCAAGCATGACTATGGGGGGTGGGGACAGAAGCCTGTGTTGCACCCCCCCGCCCCCCCCCCCCACCCCACCCCCCCCCCCCCCCCCCTTTGGGGTCTAGCTTCTCCCCCTTTTCCCCTCAGCCACTTTGGGCCTGGGCTCATTCCCCCCTTCCCCCCTAGCCGTTTTGGGTCCAGTTCTCCCCCACTGCTTCAGGTGCAGGCCTGAGCGTGCTCCCGCCTCTGGTGGGGGGGTGGGTAAGGGGAGCTTGTATGCAGCAGGCGGCTGCGCCCTGCCACTGGTAACCCCCCACCTTACTGCTCCCCTCCTTCCTTCGTCCCCTCCCTGCTGGCTGTCGGGGGGGGGGGGGGGTGGGGAGGGCGCACACACTTTCTGGCCCCTGGCTCCAAAGAACAGGGCTAGTTCCCTGCTCTGGCCCCTTAGTCACCGCTGTCATGGTGGTGCTCTGCTGTGTAGGGGGATGAGGCCAGCACTGTGCCACCAGCATCCTGCACCGCTGCCACCTCCAAGGAGCAGGTTGGCGGGGGGGGTGAGGCCAGTGGTGCTGTTCTCATCCCCCCACTCTAGCTTCTTAGTCCCTGCTGTTGTGGCGGTGCTCTGCTGTGTGTCTGTCTGTGCAGAGCACTCTGGCTGCCAAGGCAACCAACTGGAGTGCGAATAAAGCATTATGGACAGACTAAGGCTTTTATAATATTAGAATTGGGATTCTTTCCTAAACCACCTTAATATCCATTGGTAAAGGAAACTGCCAAAATTCACGATATACTGAATGTGTATGCTAGTCAGGTTAAGCAGAGGATTAAACACCTGTACTTTCAACTATCTTGAGCTAATTTTAATACCTGGTATATACATTACGGTTGAATCAAAACAAAACAAAATGGATGAGGCGTGTAAGTAGACGTTGAATAAGACCGCACTCGTATCCTTGACAGTCTTTGGAAAGCATTGAATTGTTATTTAAAGGAGAAATCTTTGTATGCACAAATGCATAGTCTCAGAATTTCTTACAAGTTAGTTCCCTTAATGTTTTCACATCTCTGAACTGTTATGTTTTGGTCATTGAGTCAAAACAATGAAGTTGGAGCTGGAGAACAGCTGCTACCTTTTAGTTCCTTAATGGGGAATGCAAAATTATTCTTACAGAGCATGTTGGTATTTTTATTCAGCTGCACTTTGTTGTCCCAAACTAGAGTGTCTCCATTGGTGTAAAGTTCTCAAAACTTTTTCCTCACTCGCCTAGTTCTACTTTTTTCATACCTGCTTTTTTTTCATACCTGCTCCCTCCAATCCCTAGTTTTCTCGCTTCAAATTCCTCTGCTTTAATGGTGTTTGCATCCCTTTAGATATTTGATTTTCCCATCCTTGCTGCTGCAGTACAAAGCTGTGCGTATTTAACTAAAAATCTTCAATTCTGTCCTATAGCACCCTAATCAGCTTTCTTTTTCTTTGAACTTGCTCCATTTTGTTGCTTTGTGCTGAATACAGTATTGCAGCTGTGGTTGCACCTGTTCTATTACTTCCTGGCTCTGTGGCATATCTTATTTGTGTGGCCTAAATTTCATTAACTGTTTCTAGGGTGGCGAGTTATGTAGAAATGTAGTCTAATAATGGTGCTGTGGACTACAGCTTGGAAAACCCAACTTATTTCATTTTGTCATTGGTCAGTTGGGTGACCTTTGGTAAATTGATCTTTCTCCCCATGATTCAGTTCCAGTATCTTTAAAACTGGAATAATGATACCAGCCTTAATTAAATGCTCTGCCAATTTCTGATGAGAGCACCATGGATCAAAGAGCTAGGTTGATGGCATTATAGTTGAAACAAACTTCAGATTCGTAACTCGATATTGTTTTTGTTGTAGGAGGTGATTTGAACTGGTCTGCCAAGAAAAGGGAGAAATTGCAAAAACTAGCAGCAGCTGAGTAAGTATAAGGAACTAACAATCACCATCTTGAAAGCTATTGAAATAATGGCTTCTGTATACATCTGGCGCATAGCCACTTTTTCTTATAATTGCAGTTATTTTGTTAAGAGGTAACTGCAATGAACTCTAGTATTGGATTTTGCATTAACATTGTATCTTAGGGTATGACTTGAACATAGAAATCCTTCACAAACCTATCTACTACAATACCTAGTCAGGGAGTTAGAGCTGTAGATGCTCAGCAGCTCTGGAAACTGGAGCCCCTGCTGTAAGTTTCCAAAGATGGGTACCTAAAATCTGAAGTTGCGCATAAAACTGAAGCAGTAGCATGTAAAATTTTGTTGGTGTTATCTTTGAACATGTGACAGCTAGCAGTTATGCAGATGAATTTATTCTTTCTTTGTCGCATCTTTACCATGCATTGGCAGGTGGGTGTCTCCATCTGAAGTTCATGCTTGTTCTTCCTGTGGATTTTTTGTGTGTGTGTGTGGAGCCTGTACCTACTTTGGTCCTAACTCTTGAAAATACATCTTTCAGCCTTGTGCTTTTTTTTTTCCTCCCCCCAAATAGCCTTCCAGCTGAATGAAGTTTGAAACAACAGTATTAAAAAAACCCCAAAAAGTTTACAGCCGTTGCTGACTTTAGACCTGGAACTAGTACATTCTTGCAGGTATCTGTCTGCCTAAAAAAGTATGAGCAACATTGTCATTCTTCACTAAGGCTCTCTGCAAGTGCATTCTCTAACTACCACTTGGAGAGTGGAATAAAGAGCAGAGTAATTTTCAGGCTGCTGTGTCAAATAATAAAAAATTGTATATGGGTCTTATATCAGAAGTCACACAAACTAAGACTACATAAAGTGAGGTGAGGCCTCTAAAAATCATAGTTAAATGCCTGAATCTCACTGCTTCTCTCATCCTCTATGTAACTTACTTATTTCAGGTTTTCAGCATCCTATTTGGTTCCTATATCTCAGAACCTTGTCTCTTTAATCCAGGTTTAGGTGTGAAAGTGAAGCTAGTGCTATTACAGTTAACTGAAAATTCCTCACATGTCAGTTGTTATACACAATTTTGTATATACATGTTTTGACTTCACTGAAAGGATTTCATAAGGTAGAGAGATTCAGTTGAATAGAAACTTTTGTTTCCAGAGGAGAATACTTTGCTGGTTTTCCCCTCCCCCCC